CCCCAAAACCCCAAAACCCCAAAACCCCATTAATCTGAAATAAAGTAAAATAGATACTAGATAAATGTTTATTTCAATTGATAAAGGTATTAAATTGGATTATTATTATTTCGTCAAAAGCAATAAGAATATTGGCTGATCAACTTATGATTAAATTTGTAAGAATAAGGTCTTTATCTTCAAATCCAATTTTATCAATCAATACTTATGCTTATTTGATAGAATGAATAAGTTTTATCATTCTACGTCTTTTGGAGGTGGCTATATATTTTGCTGATATGGCATTTGTTGAGGATTTTGAATGAATTACTATTAAGGTGGGATAAATCCTGGCTATTGTTGCAAGTTAGGCTGCATGTATTATGGCAGAGGTTGGAAGTTTTGCTGAGGTGGAGGCATCTAGTAGTTCTACAATTACACCTATGATGGTCTCTAATGTTGCAATTGGTTTGGTGGAATTATTTAGAACTGTTAATTTTGCTGATATTAGAGTTGCTATCCTGGAGGAGGCTGTTGATAAAATTACTGAGCCGGTTGTTAATAGTAAGGAGGTTATTGCATATTGGGGGCAGGCATAACTGGTTATCCCATAGCAACAGGAGCTCCAAATCCTGGATAATTGCTCTGTTATAACTAGAACTTAGCAAAGTGAATAAAGACATGTTCAAGTGAAGATCTAGTGACAGAGAAATCAGCGAACATTCCCAATCCTTATAGTTCATTGAGTGAGGAAAAGATAAAGCTTAGCTTTTAAATTTGGCTTTCCTGGGCATTGTTATTGTTAATATCAACTTTATACACTAACTCCTTAATTTGAGCTTATGCACTGCCAACTGCATTGATACTATTTGATTGCTGACCTTGACCAGATAAGTTGTCCTTAATGCAGAATGGCATTCTCTGCATAATTTCACTTTCGACTATTTGAATGTTTGAATTAGGATTCAGTCTAACTGTGATTTGATAGCCCTGACCGTACTTAGCCTTAAGATGACTTGGTGATCCAAGACAGACGAATTTTCCATTGATCATGATAGCTATCACATCGCATAATGCTTCTGCTTCATCCATTCTGTGAGTTGTCAACATAATTGATGATTTCTTGAGATGCTTTAGCATTTTGAACAAACTTCTTCTAGCGATTGGGTCAACACCAGTAGTGGGCTCATCTAGAAACTCAATTCTAGGGTTCGCCATTAGAGACATGGCACAGCAGAGTTTTCTCTTATTGCCACCACTCAGATCACATGCTCTGATCTTAGAGAAAGGTACTAGATCTAGGGTCTTTTTAATAAGATCTCTCTATGAAGCAATTTCTTGCTTGGTTATGCCTTTAATGGCGCCAATAAAGTTCAAGTGCTCATCAACTGAAAGTTTATCCCATATGAGATTCTGCTATGCGCAAAGTCCCATTTTATTTCCATCTCTACTGGTATCAAATAGTTGAATAGGGGTATTGAGTATTGAGATCTCACCAGATGTTCTAGGAAATTCCATAGTCAACATTGAGAAAGTAGATGATTTACCTGCTCCATTAGGTCCTAAGAGTCCGAATACTTAGTTTTCTTTTATTCCAAAGTAGTTTCCACTCACTGCCGGGTAGCCATTTGGATAGATCTTTTATAGGTTTTTAACTTTTACTTGATAGTTTGCTTATCCTTAATCTTGTCCGATTCTATTAACCTCAGCTTAAACATCATCGTCAGCTGGAAGGTATCTTGGATGCCATACAGCTTGCTTCATATCCTCAGTCTTATATTAGTTCAACTTGTAGGAGTCAATTACTACACTCAGGATAAAGTATATTACAGCCATAATTAGCATAGAAATGCAAGCAAATGTTGGAGTATATACGAATATATCTTGAATATTTTTCCAATCAGAATCGCTTGTTCCTGTTTAATCGTAGAGATACTTTATTATGACATAAATAAGTGATTCATAGAATGCTTAGAATGGATCAATGATAAGAATATATCTGATGACCTTGCTAGTGGTAACTCCGCCAATAGCAGAGAGTACTGAACCAATAGTGCTAGGAGCAATATAGCCAATCACTAAGTAAAGGATTCCAATTTATCTGAAAGCAGAGTTTGATGAAGCGAATATAAAGCTAACAAGGTAAGTCATGGAAATTAATGCGAATCCAAAACAAACCAGTATAGCAAGAAACACTGACCAGTTTTCTGTAAATGCCTCAACTTTCATTGGAAAGAGCAAAATTATGAAGACGATGCAGGGAATCAAGAATAGTACGATATCTGCAAGATAGTTGCCTAGGAAGTAAGTTATTGGTCTAATTCCCATGAAATTCATTAAGTATCTGAGTTTGAATTCTCTATCTTGCGTGGGAGCTAGAATGAATATTCCAGAGCATATACAGAATCCGATTAGCATCCAAAGTGTAAACATGATAGAGATAATAATAATCCAAATTTGCTTTTCACCCTAAGACTTGCTATCTGGAATGAAACCATTGAATATTAGGAAAGAAAAGATAGAGGTGACAAATGGACTTGCCAGAAGTAGCCACATTCTAGGCTCTCTTCCAAACTGTATCATTCTCTTAACAAAAACAGCTCCGATTTATTGGAAGAAAGAAGGGGATCCCTGGATATCTAAATAGTTTAAGAACTCATTATTGCCTTCCAAGTCATCTCTTTCAATTTACCCATCTACATTATGCAGTCTCTCTTCAGCTCTGGCAATACTGACATATGCATCCTCAAGACTGTTCATTTCTATGTCTATGTACACATAAGGGAAATTTCTCTCTAATTCATTTAAGAGTTCAGGGATCTTAGGCTACTGATCAAATGGTATAACATAGATTAGTCTCTTTGCAGTTGAGTCATTGCTCTCATTGCAACCAGTTATTATTTAAGAGCCAATGACGATCTGATCTATGCTCTGTTTCTGCTACATAAATTAGTCAAGTTGCTGCTGCTAGTTCCTTGGCTCAATGAACAGATTATATCCAACTCCAAAAGTCTTCTTGATGTTGAAAGGAGTGTCAAGAGCTAATACTTTACCGTGAGACATGATGCATATGCGATCTGACAATTCATCTGCTTCTTCTAGATGCTGAGTACTCATGATGATTGATCGACCTTGCTTGATTACGTTTATCAAATTCCAAACTTGTCTTCTTGATTCAACGTCTAGACCAGAGGTAGGCTCGTCTAAGATAATAAGTTTAGAACCACCAATGAGAGCCATTGCAAGTGAGAGCTTTCTCTTCATGCCTCCAGAAAGGTTTGAAGTAAGTTTGAATTGATGCTCAGTTAGCATTACTACTTGAAGTGTTTCACTTATTTGCCTTGAAATATCTTGAACAGGGATATCTTTTAGCTCACAGACCAACTTAAGATGCTCATTAACTGTAAGATTATCAAAGAGAACATCGATCTGCTGGCATAGTCCAAGACTCTATCTTACACCGTCCATATCTGACATTAGACTGTTTCCATATACTATTAATACGTATTTATTAGTCAGTTAAACTTACTTATAGCATCACCACTAGTTGGCTTAAGTACTCCAGTCATCATGTAGATGGCTGTGGTCTTTCCAGCACCGTTATGTCCGAGTAGAGCAAACACCTCGTTCTCCTTGATGTCTAGGTTCAAGTCATCGACTGCCTTGAATGTGCCAAATGTTTTAGTAAGTTTCTTTATTTAGATTGGTGCCTATCAAATTACGATCAGAATTACAGATATGAATTATGATGATTAGAAGATTATTCGATCTAAGTTCAAGAGACTTACCTCACTGTTAAAAAGTATTTGACTATCACTGGCTTGGTTCTAATCACCATCATCTTATATTAGTGAGGTGTAAATATGCTCTGGTCTGTTTCTGCGTCTTCTGAGGCAGAAGCAGCAACTCTTTGATATACCATAGGTGTCTGGGATTATCTAGTCGAGATACAGATACAACACATAATGAAGTGGAACATTTAGAACTAATGCTATCCAAGCGAACTCAATACTCACATCAATACTAGCATTCACACATTTACTTAAGACTACTGTCATTGGGAAATGTGGCAGCCAATAGAACAAGGGTAGTAGTTCCTGATTGTTCTGATAAATTGCGATGAAGATAGCCATTGGTAGTATAAGAGCAAGTTGACCAATCTGCGTGGCTAGCTTTGAGTCTGAGAAAAAGGTAGTAATGAATAGAGTGTAGAGAATAAATGCCATCGAATAGATCAGAAGTGCAATAAAGAATGGTAAAATCTGAGCAGATTTCACGTAGCCCACTACAGAAAAAACTATAGCAACCAGTATCGCTGTGAAGATAGAGAAAATTAGCTAAGTGAAAAAGAAACTGAGGCCGTAAGCCCCAGTTTTTAGACTAAGGATCTTTAAGGTTTCCTTCATCTTGGTTTCCTTTTCGATCACCACTTAACTTAGAACAAATCTGGCAGCATTTGAAAAGCACACTGGCACTGCTATTCCCATTGTCAGCAATGTAAGTACTAAATCATTGATAAGAAAATGAGATTAAAGAGGTGGGATAACTTATGTAATTAATAGAATGATGCATTATGAATCAAGGAAGCATTTAAATCTGAACTTACTGTTGTTAGTTGAGTTACTCTTTGCTTGAAAGTATCCAAACAAGAAACAGATGATGATGGGAGTAATGAATTCCCAAATGGTCTGCTTCCATAATCGCTTCTTAAGAATTATATTCTTTTAAATGAGGGCGCTTAATTAACGTCCGAAACCCATACTTAACTATATATTGATAGGATCAAAATATATTATATAATTATTAAAAAAACACCTATCTTTATATAGTTTTTCAATCTCTCTGATTGGAAAAATCCTTTGATCTTGGGGTTTTGGGGTTTTGGGGTT